GATTTAGAAGAAATTAGTTTTAAGAAAGTTAAAATTAGTTTGATATGCGTTTTAATTTGATTAAGTCAAAAGCTGATTGAAAAAGCTTAAACACTTTAGCTTAAATAGGCTTTGACTGATTGGAAGACTGAAGCAAGAATGTAGAAAAATCGTTTAGCAAAAATTATTAGTTATTAATCAAGACATATAACTTTCTCTAAAGCTTGTGTTTAAAAAGTAATTTAAAATTATTTTCAATTTTCGAACACTTCAGAGATTCCCAGAAATTATTATATATTAAAATTTTTGTTTTAAGGGAGTTTCTTTTAAAGCTATACAACTTTGTGTTGCCAAACACTGCATTACTTGGCAATTAATTTACCAGCTGATAGTTATTTATTATTGAGGTAGGCGCGTGACATTTTATTATGGAGAGGCAATGTTACGGAGAAAACATTCGTTACATTTTCTCTTTATTCTTCACAAGCAATCTCACAAGCTAACAATAGTAAATCTATCAAAATTTATAAAGCTTAATATTAAATATTGTTAAAATTATAATAATAATTATTTTTATTTTTACAAAAACTTTAGAATCTTACCTTATATCTTACTTCTATTCCATTCTATATTCAACAGCTATTTGGTGCGCCCCTCACCGTTCTCGGCGCAAAAGACCTTTGAGCGGCACAATTCGCGCCGCAAGTCGAACATTTCGTTCTGCTCGAATATCAATTTGGGCGCCACCTGCGGCCCACAAATGCCAAATATGAGCAACACGCCGTCGGAGCTGGTTCGCGACGCGGCTCCGGCATTGCCGGTTTGAACCCAATGCAAATGCAGAGCGTTCAGACATTGGCCGGGTATGGATCATCGCAGCGCTGTACGCCCCCGATGCAGCAAATTAAATCGAATTCTCTTTCTCTACCCGACAGTCCGACGGTGGTTGGCTCGCAGCGCGGCAGGAGTAACTCATTGCGGGTTGGCTATTATTCTCTCTATCCACCCTCCCCACCTATCTCTCTCTATATATTTTTCTTTCTATCTCTATAACTGTCTCACTCTCACTCACTGCCTCCCTATCTAAGACACACGATTTCCGCCTTCCTGTTTTTACGTTCACGTTTATCGACACTCCAAAAAAAAAAAAAAAAGAAAAACCTTCTCCGTGTTCACAAACGCAGCTAGATAACTGTGTATTTATCAATTGACAGAGTTGCCATGTGCCTTAAATTCCTGAAAACATAACTCAGCAGTGCAACTCTGTCGTTGCATAAATACATATCTATCTGCTGCATACAAACATATTTATCACTTAAATATCTTTGCAGCAACATTTAGAGCTAGGCAGAATTAGATAAAAAGGTCCATTTTTTAGCTGGAAAAACTTTAAACATCAAAAGAAGTTGGCCAATAAAAAATATATAATTATTTTCAGAGAATCATACATTTTTGGGCTTTCCATAAATTAGCAGTTTTTCATAGGAATTAAATTAGGATGCAATCAAACTCAAGACAAAATCTTGTTTTGTTATCTTTAAGTTTTAAAGAACATATTTACAGACATTTATTTTTTATAGAAAATTTTATAACTTTTTATTATCTTGGCATAAATTACGACAAAAATAAAACAAAAAAATTAAAGCTTTTTCTATATATAATAAATTTATGAATTTCTTGGTATATGAGTTGAGAATTCATTTAAATTGGTAAAGTTTTATTTCAATTTGAAAAACGTATTGAAAGTTAAGAAGTATTTTTTTAAGCTTAAATAAATTCTTAGAAACTCAAATAAAATATATATGTTTATATATATACCATTTGAATTTCTTAAAATATTTATCGTTACCAAATTTTTATTTTAAATTTGTAGCAAAATAAAAATAATATATTTATATGTATTAAAATTTTAGTAAATAAAATTTAAAAAAAGTTTTTTGCTTAGGAAATACCATTTTAATTAAAAAAATTATAAGATTCAACTATAAAATTTTTAAAATTTATTCCGAATATTAAATATTAGAATTAAATACATTTAGCATAGAGGGAAAGTGTGAGGAATATATGATATATATATATATAGTATAGGACATGTCAACAAGTTGACCAGCTCACAATACCAGAGTGCTGCAAGGGTATTTAATGCTTCGGTGCGCCGAAATTTGATTTTACTTTACTGAATTGGCTAACATGACACCTAGACTTGAGCAAACATACACACAGTTGTGGTATGAAGAAGCACAATGTAAAATGCAACAATGCTCATACGCACACACATGCACACATGCACAACACACGCAAACACATAGATCCATGTAGAGCATCAAAATTTGGTTGCATTTCGTTTTTGAAAGACTCGCAAATCCATTTCACAAAATTGAAGCGTTTCAAAAAGCCGCAGCACTCGACAACAGCCGCAAAAGCCAGACCAACATCAACAACAACAACAGCAACAATTGCAACAACAACAACAGCAACAATTATCAACTATCAGCAACAAGACAACCAACCAGTTCAGCAACCATTCATAACCATAAAGCACGCACGCAACGGATATGTCCACATCACGTTTCCGTTTCCGTTAACTCGAGTTGGTTTTGCACCCCCGCAGCAAGAAAGAAAAAAGAATATAAATAGCGAAACGAAATAATAACAATAACAATCATCATAATAGTAATAAGAATAATAATATAATAACCTAATGCAAACAATTTAATCAGCAAGCGTGCGGCACGGATTTCAGTTCAATGTGTGTTTAGGCCAACAAAAAAGAGAACTTCTTGTAGCCAATTTGTATTGTGTAATTCATGTGTTTGTGTGTTCTTGTGTTTTGTTTTGGCCATTCGCTTGTTAATCGTTAATCTCTAATCTGGTCTCTGCTTTTTGGATGTGTCCAATATTTTATTACTTGCAGATCGATAATGATATTCTGTTGCGTCGCTCGTCGTCGCTGCGGCAGGGCTTGCCCAGCGTTGGCGTCAGCCATGGTCGTCGCAAGTCCTCGCTGGAGGAGATCGGCATCAGTCACTTTACCACTTTGATGCAGGCCACCAATCACAGCAATCCCATCAAGATATCGCTCAATGGCAGCATTGGCATGGAGGTAAGACACTCACTCACTCAGCTTTTGCTAGGATAATTAATAATCCAATCAACTTTCTCTCTTGATTAGAATCAAATCTCGTTGCAAGTGACGCCGCCCGAGGAGCCAACGCCCATGTTGGGCGTGCCGTGTGTTTTGGGCGGCGGTGGCGTGGGCGGCATTAATCCATCGGCACTTGGCGGCAGCGCTGGCGGCGGCGGCGGCGGCGGTAGCAGCAGCGGCATGCTGGGCGCCAGCTCCTCGCTGGCCATAAATACCGCAGATCTGGGTCCTGGACCGAGCACCTCGTCGGGCGCCTCGCTGCAGGCGCAGGACTCGCTGCCGCAGTCGTCACAGGGGCCGTCGCCGCAGCACTTGCAGGGCACGATTGTATGATACAACCTGATGTGGGGTCGCGACTCCGCTCGTCCATGTCCAAAAACAAATGGATATAGAATTCGGCCAGCACACACAGACGTTCGCGATAAGTTCTAAAGAGGCACCCCCTGCTTCTGCTTGCTATAAGGTCAAGCTGCTTAACCCAAACGAGTTTAAAAGCCAAAAATCAAACCCAAAACTATTTATATGTATAATCAAATGGTATAGAGATGAGCGCGTGTCGATATAGCGTGACACGAATTATTTAGTATGAGAAGAGCTTAAAACACAAAGCAAACACAATGTAAGTTTTTATTTTAATTATTTTTTTATTATTAAAATTATTATTTTTAACAAAATATCAAACTAAAAGTCGAAATATTATTAGCATTTTTATTATTTTTTTTTACAACTAAGTATTTTTATTTTATTTAAAAGCATATATGATTTTATATATCTATATATCATTATTATTATTTTTACTACGATTATTAGTATTCTTATTAGTATTATTATTATTATTATTATTATAAATATTTTTAATATTATTTTTTAATAGAAATTATTTTCTATAAATTAATTTATACATTTCTTGCCTTAAGGGCCTAAGTTTCGTGTCATGAATATATCTGTAGCTCTCAATTGCTCATCTCTAAGTATTATTATTAAGAATCCAACCCACCCAAAAGCAGGCCTATCCCGTGTCTGTGTTGTGTGCGTGTCGCCAGCTAATGAAATTTAGACTAGTATTGCCCCTAGCTGAGAGTTCTCCCCTCTCTCTTTCTCACTGAGTTGCTTAGTTAAGTGTAACGAAGATGTGGATTGTGTTTTATCATTTGGCTTATAGGCCAACTACAACTAAGTATATGAGTAGCAATAAATTAGATTCAAAATCGGTATGCTTTATTCAAAAAGTGTTGCAAAAAGTGTGTGTTTTGGGAACAACAAAGTAGTTAAACTATTGGCATGAATGGAATGGTATCTACCACTTTAGCTAGCTGTAAATAGTATCGTGCATAAAGAAGATGTGTTAGCTGCTAATGCATTCCTATATATAACTATAAGATAATTCGATTCATTTCTAGCATATCTCGCTCTAATGCAAATTAGCTGCCCCAAGACAAGAGGCTCAAAACCAAAAACCAAGAAAATAATTTGGAAAAAAAAGAAAAGAAATTATTTAAACAGCTTTTTAGTAGCCATACCAAAATTATGTATATACGATAGTTGTAAGCGCTAGTTGTAGTTGAAATTTGTTCATGATTTTTTCTCCATTCAAAGTTTCGCAATTGATTCATAGACAGTGCACTCAGTACTTCCTTAGGTTTCATATGTTGCACAGCGTTTTGCATTAAATTCGTTATAATAATCTCTTTTACTATAAGAAAGGTGCTATCGATGTTTTGTACCGCAATATTCTTTCGATTCGTAAAAAATAAAAAACTTTTTAATAACGGTTTTCAGAACATAAAACATTCAAAAGAAACTAGGCTTTGGTATACTCTAATGCTTTACAAAGAATAACAAAAGAAAAACAAAACAAAACACAGGAAAACAATGCTATGTAGTTGCTTGTATATATTAGTTCTTAAGATGGTGGCATTCCAAGGAACTGCATAGAAACTATTAGAACTACAACGCAAAACAACAGAAATTAGTTAATAAAAGTTTATGATTATATATAGTCGATAGTCGATAGGCGATAGTCGATAGTCGTTAAGCACTTAGTTCGGTTTTGAGGGCCGTGCCTCAAAGCCTAAGCCTATAGCTTATAAACGAAACTGTACCAAATTCAATGAGCTATACACCTATTCCAAGCATCAACCACATACATATAAATATATATATATTATATATATATCTTAACTGTCGATTGGCACCCTCCCAAAGAAAAAACCTAGACACGTCCCCAGCAACAGGGAAAATTTATTAATTAGCCTTTAGCTAAAGCATACAAATGTACCTACACTCCACACACACACACAAATATATATATATATATATATATATAATGAACTTTAAGATATATACATAGAGCAAAAAAAACAGTTTTATACTAAGTGAATTTTACTCGGTTCCAGTTTGAAATGATGATGAACCATGCATTCCAGTGTCTCAAGAACCTATGCGACCTATGCGCGCCTTAGATAAGCCTAGCACATCCAATAAAAACAGAAAACCAAAAAAAAAATATAGCATCTATATATAAAAATATATATATACATATATTTAGTACTAGGTATTCTATTAGCGGTCACTAAATTAGCAATTAGTAAATGTCTCAATGTACAAAAAGCAAAAAAAATGGCAATGCCTACGATTAGTTATCAAAGAACCACAAACAACAACAACAACAACAACTAAACAAAAACCAAATGTACTTACTATATTTAATTGATAATTGAATGCTCTTCGAGGCACATTACAAGTTTAGATCATAAAACTTTGCTGTAATATTTAAATGTGCTCTTAAAGCACTTGACAAAAAACATGACAAGAAAAACTCACAATAAATTCAAAATATATAGTTGATGAAAACTGAATGAAATTGTTAAAGCTAAGATGGGCGGGACTTGAAGCACGAATTTTTCTGATATATACTAAATCAATTAATTTTAATATATATATATGAATAACTTAAAATATGTTTATTATTTTATATATAATTTATAAAATAAATTCATTAAATTTTTATTTTTTATATTTTAATTTTTGTATATAAAAAAAATTAAAAATATATTATAGTTAAAAAATATATAGTTAAATTATGATTTACTTTTTAGTTTTTAAATATTTTTAACTATAATATTTATTTTTTAATTTTAAAAATAAAATTTGTATTAAAAATATATAGTTAAATTATCATTTTGCTTGCCTTTTTTTAATGTATATTAATATTCAAATAAAGGCAAGCAAAATTATAATTTAACTATATATTTTTTAAGTACAAATTTTATTTTTAAAATTAAATACATTTTTAACTATAATATTTATTTTTTAATTTTTAAAAATAATTTACCAATTTTATTTTTTAATTAATTTTATATAAATACCATAACTGCATAAATCGGGCGTATAATTAGTTGTGATCAAGATCTTTTATAAAAGATAAGTTCCTTACTTCAGAGACTCATAACTTTGATTAAAAACCAAATCAATTTGATTAAACGGATATATGATACCCATATGAACATCAATAATATTATAGAAGCCTGAAAGGCTTTGCCAATATTGAGCCCCTGCTTTAACCAGACCCACTCAAATAATTGCACTAGTTAGGTATATGTATTTATTTATATTATTTATTAGATTGAGTAGCTTTCCAAAAGATGGCACACACATTAGTTTGGTTTGTATTATGAATTAGTTGTTGCTTGCTTTGGTACGTGATCTTCAGTTATCTTAGTTTATAGATTGCTCTGTTTTGCGTATACAAAAATAATTTTCCTTTTGATTTCATAAGTTATTTGTTCTTTTTTTTTGGTTTTTTCACTAATTTAATTGTAGACCCTTCTTTGGGGCTGCTTCATTTGCGTGGCGCAGCAAAGTCGTAGGGCGAGGCCACAGTGCAGCCGGTGGAGGCGCTGGTGCACTTGCAGCTCTTGCCAGAGGGCGACTTCCGATTGACCAGACAGAGGCGTGAATCGGTGCAGCCGCCGTTGTTGATCTGGCACTGGCTGGAGTATTGCGGGCAATTCTGCTCCACGGCGGTCATGCCGTACAGCTTGTGGCTGCCAAAGAAGGTCGTCTGAATGGGCTTCTGGCGTACGCCCGCGCTGTCCACGCTCTCCAGCTTCTTGCTGTGTGGAAGAGAGAAAGGAAGCTAAGTGGATTTGCCTATCAGAGAAAGCTTGCGGCCACCTACGTTGTCCAGTCGGTCCAGTAGAATTGATCGTGCGTAAAGGTCAAGCCGAATGGATAGGACAACTCCTGGGATATGGTGCGCGTTGACGGCTCTGTGCATTGATGCACTCCACCTTTCTGGTGCCCGCATCCGCATAGCAGAGCTCGCCGCTGTGCTCCAGCACCACCAGAGAATTGGGCAGCTTGACATCATTGGCGCCCAGCAGCAGCTCGCGACCTGTGCCATCCAAATCAGAGTACTCTATCTTTGGGTTCGACCGATCCCAGTCGGACCAGTAGAGTTTCCTGCAAAGAGAGTTACAGTTAAGAAAATGCATCTCAGGTAGGTTCTTTGGTAGCACGACTCACTCTCTGTAGGGATCCACGGCAATGCCACGTGGATTCACCAGATCCTTGTTGATGATGACAGCGCGCAACGACGAGTTGTCCAGGCTGGCCACCTCAATAGTGTCCTTCTCCGAATCCGTCCAGTACAAACGACGGGAAATGACATCAATGGCAATGCCCCTCTGGCGATTCAATGTCTGCAAGCGAAATATATCATGATGATTGGGTTATATACCCGAACGCCTTAGTCCACTTACCTGTGCTGATGAAGACGCGCTCATCGGTGCCATCGTATTTGGAACTGATGATTTTTCTGGCTGATATATCGCCCCAGTAGATGCGTCCCTCTACACAGTCCTTGTCCAAGCCAATGGCCATCGAGGCCACCTTAATAGGCTGCACATTGCGTCCATTCAGAGGCACACGCACGAGGACCACGCCCTGGCTGACAATAAGGAAGTTGGAGTCATGCTGTTGGCGCTCCAAGCAAACTGAGCCATTGCCGTAGAAACCTAAAGAATAAGTAAATAAATTTATAAATTATAAGCTTTCAATTACTTAAAATAATTAAAAGTAATTAGTAAGCTAACAAATTTATTTTAAGGTAATTAATAACTGAAGACAGCTCCAATTATTTCAATTACTCAGTACGGATAGCTCTGGTTAGTTTTATTCAATTACTACTAAGTAATTAAATGTAATTCAATTCAAAATACATGATTAAAATAGCTGTAATTGCTGGAAAACATTTCCTAAATGCAAGAATAGTTTTCGGTAAGTAATTAAGAATAATTACAAGCTGAAAAAAGTTCATATTCCACTATTTG